AAAATAGTTTAAAAAGTATATTTTGGAGACAACTAGAAAAATGTGAGGATAGGCTAGATATTAGATGATATTAGAAAAAGATTACTTTTTTAATTAATATGTTATTGTATTCAGTCCTTGGAAAAGTCATGACGTATTTTTTCTTCCTATGTAAAAATGCATCATGACTTTTCTGACGACCCCATAGTTAAGTAGGAGAATGTTTTTAAGGTAACAATGAACGATTACTGAATCTATATAGTAGATAATGTCTACTATGTAATTCCTTCAAACTTTCTTGATGCGTAAAATTTTTCCTAAGAATTGAGAACAAGTTTAAGTATACAATACCATCTATGAGGCATTTAGCTTAAAATAGTTCACTTTAATCCATTAAGCTTTTTGACACAACTTTCAGTTTGCAAAAAAAACACAGGGCAGAAAGGAACAAGCTGATGACATCAAGAGGAGCCAGATGGTAGAGCACTCTGTAAGACAACTGGCCTGATCCCTTCAACGACTTGGGGTCATAACAAGGGATGATGCTAAATGGAAAGTCCTAAGGGACAAAGCAACTCAACATAATGTGTGGTCCTGGATTTGATGCTAGCTGGGCTCAATCAGGCAGAAAGGACATTTGGCATCAACAGTTAAAATCTGATTATTGGTCGGGCATCACACAAGAATAAAAATTATTTTCAAATGATCTAAAATAATATAAACCATCAAGAAAACTTTAAAAATACAACTACATTAAAATGCTGTCTGGAGCTGGCTCCATAGTCTAATGGTTAAGGAAGCCAGATCCTACATGGCATACTGTGGTTCAAATCTCAGCCCCAGACTTGAAAAGCACACAGGATCTATGTGCATGCCCCAAATCCTGACAAGATGGAGAAATGGAAGAGAAAGGAGAACAGAGTGACCACACCCCATCAGGAGTGGGTGCTTTCTGCCTCTTTCTCTTTGTCTCTCTCTGGCAAGCACATGTGCCCTCTGGCAATTAAAAATATGTATAAATAAAAAGTAAAGTCTGTTTTTCAAGACAACATAAAAAAACATTCAAAGTCAAACCACAAACCAGAAGATACTGATATTTGCAACAATACAAGTAGCTAAAAAAAGAAAATGGTGATACACCTTGAGCAACCCTAATCTGAAAATCTGAAATCCAAAATGCAAGACTTTTTGAGTGCCGACCTGATGCCACAAGTGGCAAATTCCATACCCAACCTCATGTGACAGGTGAGAGTCCAAAACATTCCAAAACAATAAATAAATAAATAAATAACTTTACCTTCAGGCTATGTGTAGAAGGAATATATAAAACATAAATAAATTTTGTGTTTAGACTTGGGTTTTATCCCAAAGATATCTCATTATGTATAGGCAAATATTCCAAAATCCAAATTTTAGATAAGAACTACTCAACTTATATAAATTAAAAACTCCTATGAATCCATAAGAAAAATAAACCAAAAAAAGTAGAAAAATGAACAAAAGTTATCAACTATTATTTAATTGAAAATGCTATATACCAAAGTACTATAAACCTAGGAAAATAAACCCAAATTTATTAGTAATTGAGTAAATGAAAATAAAAATAAAAACCATGAGATGCCCAGAGTTTTAAAATTAAAAACAATTATCGGGGTCAGCAAGTGGCATGGTAGTTAAAGGCGCTGGACTCCCACATGGCCGACCACGGTTCAAGTCTCGGATCTGGCAGCTTGCTTTCTCACTTTCTCTCTGTCTGTCTCTCTCTGATCAAACTGGAAAATAATAATGATAATAATGATAAATAAAGTTAAATAAAATAATTCTTTAAAAAAAAACAAGTATCAATTGTTGATGAGAATTTCAAGCAATGGGAACTCTCTTACACTACAAAAAAAAGGATAAATTTGATCAATAAATTTATAAAAGAATTTGGCATTATCTTAGAAACCTAAACATGTATTGCCCATAATCCAGCAATTCTATTTCTAGGTATATAGATTAGAACAGTGTTTTATAGAATACAGATAGTGACCTACTCAATTAAGTGGTTTCTAACCAGCATAATTAAATGAAATAGTATGGAACAGAAAATAAAATAACAATAGACACTGGAGGTGGTTTATAGCATGGTTTTGTGGGAGTTCACACACACACACACACACCCATAATGCAAACTGCATTTCTTACTAGGGGTCATGTACCAAAGCCTTTGAAAGCTTCATCTCTGGGACCAGCAGATGGCATAATGGTTATGTTGCTAGACTCCCATGTAAACAATTACAGTTCAAGTCCCGGACCTGGTGACTTAAAACTCATGCCAGACACATGCACATGCATGCCCAAGATCCCAAGAAGAGAATGGAGGAGAAAGGATTGTAGTGTGACCATTTGCCCCCTCCCCGGCGGGGGGTGATTTCTTGCTTTCTGTCTCTCAAAAATAAAAAGAGAAAGAGAGAGTGTGAGAGAGAGAGAGAGAAAGCTACATCTCTACAGGGCAACTCTTGCATATGAGCTTCCAGAGACTCAGAAATGACACTCTATGGAAGAACAACACCCTGGAAAACACCCCTATGACCTCCTCTACATGGAATAGACAACTAGACAACTTGTGGTACACTGGAATGCTATACAATGGTTAAAAAAGAGAGCGCGAGAGAGATGCGGTAATGCATAGCAACATGGATGTTCTCACAAACAATGCCAAGCAAAAAACCTCAAATCACAAAGGAACACTCCAAGTGCAAAGCTATTTATATGAGGATGTCTTAAAACATGAAATTTTAAGGATTTAACTATGCAAAAGTATAATGAAAAAGATAAACACAAAAATGTAGGTGTCTTTGTGGAGAATGCAGAAGATGATGATGGGGGCTTCTAGGAATCTGGTTCAGCTGGATAGCAGATACACAAAGAAGTCTTTGGTGACATCTCTCAGTCACTAAACTTTCCACTCCTGTGTTCATATTAAGTGTAACTGTTATATGAGATGACTTTTTCATATGGTTCCAACCCTATTTTGAGTTGTGTGGGCCATCATTCACAGTTTAAAACATCTGAACTACAGGCCAGCAGTTGGTGTGGTGGTTAAGGTGGCTGGATCCCACATAGCCAACTGTGTGGTTTGGGCCCTGGACCCAGTGGCTTGAGATACGCACTGGGCTTGTGTGTGTGCATGACCAAGATCCCAAAACGAGAATGAAGGAGAAGGGACTGTGGCATGGCCATCCACCCTGGGGAGTGAATTCTTACTTTCCCTCTCTCTGGTGAGGACACATACCCTATAGAAGACAAAACAAAAACAAACACACACACACACACACACACACACACATGCAATTAAACTGAAACCAGGCCTGAATTTGGATGCGGGACAACTGAAATCAGACTTAGTATAAGACATCGTTTAATCTCATTCTGTTTGTCTCATTAAATCATTAAAACCTAAGAATGTTAGCTACCCTCAGCTACAAAAAGATTTGTTTGGAAAGAAGAGAGTGTCAAAATAGCTAAGCATTTTTCAATTCTGAAAGGCTTCTTCCTCGAAAACATTCTGATAGGCATGTGTGATAGCAAGGACAAGCAAAAAAAAAAAAAAAGAAAAAAAAATCTATAGATCCTCAAACAGATAAGGAGTCAGGCTTGCAACCTGCCCTCTGGGGAAGCAGCTTAATCTGCCCAGAAGATCACACATTTCCCCCTGGAAATAGGACTGCAGGCCACACCACCGGCAGGGTTCAGCCTCAGAGGGCATTCTCAAAGGTAGTAGGAGAGTTAATTCAGAAAAGGGCATGGTCTCTGCTGTTTGGGCTAGAGGAATAAAGAACAATGGTGTCTCCACAGACAATCCTACACTGGAGATTGTGCCCTGCTGAGGACTTCAGACAACCACCTGACTTCACTGGCAGATGCAAAGGAAGGGGCAGGTAAGAAAAGGGAGCTAACAAAACACGATAGTAACGCAAAGTTCTGTGAGGCTGGCCCACATGAGAAGGATCCAGATCAACACCGAAAGCCGTCCCTGAGTATAGCAGGGACAGGTGTACTTGTGCCCACGATCATCAGCGCTGGCTAAAGTCAGACACGGATCATGACATCAAGACCCTGTTGGGTGCATCTCTCTCCTTCCTCCCTCCTCTCTCTGTTTCTCTGAAAGAAAGAAATTTTAAAGAAAGAAGATGGAAGGAAGGAAGGAAAGAAGGAAGGAAGGAAGGAAAAAGGGGGCCATGGGCCAGCAGGTGGAGTGGTGGTTAAGAACCCTGGACTCCCGTATGACTGAACACAGTTCATGTCCCGGACCTGGCAGCTTACTTTCTCTCTCTCTCTTGCTCTGTCCCTCTCTGGTCAAATCTTAAAATAATAATAATAAGAAGAAGAAAATAAATAAATAAAGTTAAATAAATAATTCTTTAAAAATAGGAAAAGGAGGCCAGCCCAGGAAACTCTCTCCACACACCATCTGTCTTACCTACTAGATACTTCATGAGATACCCTTGATGTGCAGCATTTCGTTAAATCCTCACAACAACTCTGCAAAAGTAAGTCTGCACTTTACAGATGAAGATCCTAGAGCTCAGAGGGTTTTAGTAAACTTCCAAGGGTTGCCACTAATGGCTGGTAGAGCTGGAACTCAAACCTACTGCTATCTGGCTCCGAAACTCATATTAATTCCTTATCGAGGAAGACTATAAAACCTCTTAGAATGGACTTCGAGGCTGCCCCCTACAACTCTTGCCCTCTCCTGCCAAATACAATGCTGGCCACGCCATGAAGTGCCGACCCGGCTCAGGTTGGTAGAATTCCATTGCAAAGAGCGATTGCTAGCACCTTTGGTTCCCAGACCACAGCCCAGCCTTCACCTCTGTCAACCATGTATAGCAATTCTCACCCACAAAAGATCTTGGCCCCAAGAGGAATAAGGTTTAAAAACATGGAGAGGCAATGCACCCCTGATGCCCCAGTCTGGCCTCACTCTGAAGCTCACTCTTCATCCTTGTCCTACTGAGGACCATTTTCACAATTACCTAGTGTCCAATCGGAGACGGCCTCCAGGAGGGGGATGCTGCTATAGATGGCGTGCATGTACATCAGGTGAGCCATCAGCTCCGCCAGCCACCACCAACAGAGGAGGCGGCCCAGGCCCCAGGCAAGGACACAGAGGCTGGCCTTCAGGGAGCTGAGCTCTTGCTGCTGCATCTACGGTAGAAAAAAAAGAGGCCATTGGATTGAGCCTGGTTGTTCAAAACCTGCACACAGCCCTCTAGATCATGTTTTTAACAAACTTCCCATGAATATTATTGCCATTTCTACTAACAGAGGGTTGGTTTACTTCGCCTTAGGAGCAACCCAATGTTCTTGGGTGATAAAGTCATATCCAAGCTCTAAAACTGTCCCAGAGTAAGATCAGAGTGGGGTTAACAAACTCATCTGGCCAGATTATTTTGTGGTGCATTTGGGAGCATACAGATTAGAAACCACATGCCAACTGCGGTTTGAATCCCTGTTCCAGACAGCCTGAATACACACTGGGCACATACGCACATGCCCAAGAGCCTACCCAAGAGCCTAGAGGCTGGAAGACTGGGGAGGGGACCACAGCATGACCAGATCTTTGGAGGGTGCTGGTTTTTCTTCTTTTGTCCCTATCATCAAAAAGAAAAACTCCGATGCTTCAGAGCAGGCTTTGGGTTGAAGCTATAATTCCAGAAACTTCTAAATCTATCCAAAAGCCAAGAAAATGAATACATCTTCAGTCTCACGGTCAATGAGCTACACTGAGAGAAGCCCTTCTACTGGGATGTGGTACTGGGGATCTACAGCAACCTGGTCCTTGGATGTCCAGTACGTGGATGACCTGACTGACAGGAACCAGGAAAATCCAGATAGATGGGCGCAGCAAGCTTTTTTAAAAAATTAGTTAATTTGTTTGTTTATTTATTTTAAGAGAGATTTTTGCCATAGTGTGCATGCACTCACTGGAGATACAAAGACAGAAAGCAAGAAATCACCCCCTAGGGGGATGGCCACCCCTCAATCGCCTCTCCTCCACTCTCCTCTCAGGATTTGGGGCACACACACCTGGTGTGAGTTTCAAGCCGCCGGATCCAGGACTCAAACCACAGCCAACTACATGGGAGCCCAGCAACGTAACCATTATGCTATCTGCTGGTCTCTGTGTCAAGCTTTAATCACCAACAGCATCATATTGACTATGGAGAGTGTTAAATTAAGAAAATCATTTAATTTGAGCTCAAACTATATTTCAAAACTGGTTATAAAGATAACTATCCAGGAAAAAAAAAAAGAAAGAAAAAAGAAAAATACAAAACAAAAAAATAAGCTAGCCTAGTGCCCAGAACCAGCAAGAGGTTCTGCGTCCTTCCCCCAGCAGAAGCCCTAATCCAGCCTGGGGTGCAAGGGCAGCACCTAGTGTGTTCTCCCTCAGGCCTGTGGGGTCTCAGTGGCCTCCAGGTGTCACTCTGCCTGTCGTCACCCATCACCCATTCTACATCTGAGACTGGCAAATGCAGGGGCCAGTCAAACATAGACACAGGACTGGAGTGAGAATGAGAAAATGAGAGAGGAGCTTGAAAGCAAGGGGAAAATTAACTGTGGATGTGTTATTCTACCTTAAATTATTTTTTTAAAGAATTATTGTATTTAATATTATTTATTTATTTATTTTATTTTGGCCAGAGAGGGACAGAACGAGAGACACAGAGAGAGACAGAGAGAGAGAGAGAAAGTGAGAAAGCAAGCCTCCAGGTCCAAGATTTGAACCATGATCAGTCATATGGGAATCCAGGGCCCCTAACCATCATGCCACCTACTGACCCTTAAGTTGTTTTTAAAACAAGACAGAGTAGAGTCTGGCAGGTGATGTGGTGGTTAGGGGCGCTGGATTCCCCTCCAAAGGACCATTGACGATGGTTCAAGTCTTGGACTCAGCAGTTTGCTTTCTCATTCTCTCTCTCTCTCTCTCTCTCTCTCTCTCTCTCTCTCTCTCTAGTGAACACATGTGACCCATAGCAAATTTTTAAAAATAATAACAAATAAAATTAAATAATTAAAATAAAATAAAATAAGACAGGGTAAACAAACAGGCCCGGTAGATGGGACAGTCCTCTTGCTTAGCAGGAGCATAGAGTAATGGTCAAGAACATTAACTCCCAAATGTAAATCACTTGCAACAGAGCTGCCAGCAAGACAATGCTAAGCCTTTCACTCCATAAACTCAGGACATGCTTCCATGTATTAGGTGTTCTTTCATTTCTTCGGCAATGTTTACAGCATTCGGTCTACAAATCTTGTACCTCTTTGGTTAGATTTATTCCTAAGTGGTTTGTTTTTGTTGGTATTTTAAATGAAACTTTTTCCCATAATTTTTTTTCTAAAAAAGAAAAAATGAACAGAATTACAGAGAACCAAGACCAAACCTGAGCACCTACCACACAGTGATGTGCTCCTGAGCAAGTTATTTCACCTCTCAGAGTCTCAGTTTCCTTATGCAAAGTAAAAATTGTTGCAGTGATTAAATCTGGTAATGCATATGAGAGGCAGTAAGTTCAGGGCTGGGTGTGTAAGAAGCACCGGGTAGCAGAACTTAGTAGCTGATGGTTACGTGCCTCCTTTGTGTGCCTCATTCACACCCTTCCCTCAGTGTCCTGGCTACTGGCTCCGTGCAGCACCAGGTCACAGCGCTAGGAAACAGAAGTCCGTTTTGTTACTCACAGATATACATAGAAGTTACTAAGAGTATACTGATACATGTGGACAGTATAGACAAAACTTCTCACAGTTCTACCAAAGTAGCCTGGTTCTATGGTCTCACTTCATTACTTCTTGTTTTAGAGAGGCACAATGATTTAAAACATAGATTCTATTTTTTTAATTTGCCAGAGAGCTCATGTGGTCACCAGAAAGAGACCCAAAGACAGAGAGAGGGAAATTGCACTCCTCCATGGGGCATGGTCACGCCACAATCCCTTCTCCTCCATCTTTCCCTCCTCCCGGGATTCTGGGCATGCATGCACGTGTGCTCAGTGTATTCCTCAAGCTGGCAGATTCAGGACTTGAACCTGGAATTGGCTATGTGGGACTCAGCTCCCTTAACCACTAGGCTCTGTGGGCAACTCTAAAATAGAGATTCTAGAATTCATCCCCCTACTACGAAATTGGAAGTGAATTTAATTTCAGTCTTGCATCATCAGGAAAAAGAAAAAAAAAACACAGAAAAATAAGAGAGAAAGCACTTTAGACCAATGGACGGGCCTTTCCTGGTGCTGAATATCTTGGAGAGAGCACGTTGTCTGGCCGAATGCAATAACGACCTCAAAAGCAGTGTGGACCAAAGACAATCTTGACATAACTAAACGTCTCCAGTTTCTAAATAAGCAACTGTACACACTGCCTGCAGGTCCCTGAGCACAAGCCTACCCCAAGTTCAAGTCCCTGAAGACCAGACCTGCATCTGAGGCCTCACAGGTCTGCTGGACAGCCCCATTTCAGGGAGAAGTCGGAAGGGAGACAGAATGAGGTCACAGCCAATTGGGAAAATACCTCTCTCTACCCAATCACCTCTGGATTCTGGGTGCCACAGTTTAAAGTCATCTGGAGGACTCCTGTCCCTCCCTGAACCATGTGCATCTAAAATGACACAGACATCTATAATTGAGGAGAACCACAAGATACACTGTGTTGCTAACTGGCCTTACCTACTTCCCACAGGTCAAAATCTCCTACCAGGTTTAAAAAGTCATAATTATACAACACTATAAGACCTAAAAAAAGGCTGGACTGAGACAAGCAGATGGTGTAATGGTTACATCGCTGGACTCCCATGTAGTTGACCGTGGTTTGAGTCCTGGACTCAGAAGCTTAAAACTCACACTGGGCGTGTGTACATGTGTGCCCAAGATTCTGAGAGGAGAATGGAAGAGAAGTAACGGCGGCATGGCGTATCCCTGGGGTGTGATTTCTTGCTTTCTGTTTCTCTGTCTCTCTGGCAAGTGCACATGCCCTATAGCAAAAATCTCTCTTAAAAAATAAAAAGGGCAGGGCCAGCAGGTGTCATGGTGATTAAAGACACTGGACTCCCACATGGCTGACCGTGGTTTGAGTCTTGGACCTGGAAGCTTGTTTTCTCATTTTTTGTCTTTCTCTCTCTCTCTCTCTCTTTTCCTCTGGTTAAATTAAATGGGGTTTGATTTCTTCCTTTCTGTTTCTCTGTCTCTGTCTCTCTGGCAAGTGCACATGCCCTATCGCAAAAATCTCTCTTAAAAAATAAAAAAGGGCAGGGCCAGCAGGTGTCATGGTGATTAAAGACACTGGACTCCCACATGGCTGACCGTGGTTTGAGTCTTGGACCTGGAAGCTTGTTTTCTCATTTTTTGTCTTTCTCTCTCTCTCTCTCTCTTTTCCTCTGGTTAAATTAAAATAAATAATAACAATAATAATAAATAAAGTTAAATAAAATTTCAAAAAATTAAAAAGGGCTGGACTTTTCTCTGCAACGCTCCCTTTTTGGATGCTGAATGTCTCCTCAGTCCAAGCAAAAGAAACGTTTATTACTTAATTGTGCAAATAAACACAAGTGAAGGGAAATAATCTAACTTCTCAACCTATTTGCTTTTTCCTTTAAAAATAAATTTAAAAGGCTCTCCGTCTTTCTTTAGAGTTGTGTCATTTTTACAGTTCATTTTACCTTCCACCTAGTTGACTCTTTTTTCTTTAAAAAGCGCAGCATTAGTCCCTTGTCAACGCAGCAGAACAAACATGCCGCCTGCAGTTCATCCCACAGGCATGGCTGCTCTCCCGACTGCATGCAAAGTATTTCATTTGAGACATTTCGAACCCAGAAGATCGCCAATTGTAAGACCATTGGAAACTGCTGTGATGGAAATTTTAAGTCCGCGCTCCACTAAAAGCTACACATTAACTCATCCGCAAAGTGCATTTTAAAAACGCATTATATTTTAAAACCTCATTTCATGCAAATTGCATAAAAAGGAATGTCGGAGCCTTTCTCTCTTTCAAAGATCTTCTGATGATTGAAGATGACAGTTCTCTAAGATGAAAGGTCCTTTTCCCTCACACACTAACGATACACGTGTTTGAGCGCACCAAACAAAAGCCTTGCCCACAGTCAATTATGCAACTGTGCCACCTCGGCCACCACCCTCCCGGGTTCCCTCTGC